TATTAATCCCCGTGGGGAAATTGTTTCTCTGCATTTGACCCATCCTAGTATTAGGAGCAGTGTGCTGCCATTTTTAAACGGCGCCCGGGGCTGTTGTGTAGCCAGGAAAAAACTATCCGCTTCCTCAGCCAAGGCACGGGGCTCCGTGACAGGCGTGTTGGCCAGCGCCGTCTGGACCCGGGAAGGTAAGTGACACAGGAAAATCTCGGTGAATAAAATCCGGGGATCTTCGCCCCCTAGCAGATTTAGCATTTTCTCCATTAGCTGAGATGGCTTGCTGTCCCCTAGGCCTTGAATGTCAAGTATCTGGGCCCTCTCCTTAGCAGATAAGCTAAATGTCTTAAGGAGAAGGGCCTTAATCGCCTCATATTTGCCATGGTGTCTGTGATAAATCCAACCGACCTGGACGATGTGGAGCTTCCCAGCGCTGCTACGACATGGTCCCCGTCACGGACCTGCCGGCAGGCGAAGTGCGCCTCCACGTGTGCAAACCCCGCCGCCGCGGCATTCTCCCAAAACTCCGGCAGCTTTACGAGAACATCGCAATTAGCCATGTTCATTGAGACTTCGGAAACTGTCTCGAAGCCGTCAGGGTCACCAGTGTGGTGCCGAAGAAAGGGAGTCGGAGGCGGTCTATTAAGAATGGAGTTCCAATCTTTATTATCCATTCATCTCCATTAGGTTAATACATGAACTGCTGTATCACAAGCTAGCAGGAATGGCAAGCTAAAGCCACGGGTGTTACCCACTAAAGGGTCCGTGTGGCAACACAATAAACAATGTGAATTATGGTCCCACATGTTGTCACCACAATATAAACAAAATATTACAAGGCATTGTTACTTGAGTAAATGTATTTCATTACAGTACACCACATGAAAAGACAAACAAACACAGGCTTCTGCAATAGTAGTAACACAGTGTAACCCGATGGTAATCCCCCCACTTGGCTTTTACCTTCACTGCCCATATTTGGACCGGGCGGGGTGTCGCTCTCGCGCGGAGCCAGTCAGCGCTTGCTCACGGAGTCGAGTAAAGGAAGTGAGTCACACTGACGGTAATGTTACGTCCCTCTGCAGGCAGCATCGAGAAAAGAGCCGAGAACAAGGAAGCAACATGTGCTGACCATAATAACTCCAACACATCAGCAGCTCAGGCAGCCACGAGACAAGAGACAAGAGGAGGGCACACACACCGCCGGCTGGATACTCAGACCTTTTCTTTATTACATCGTGAGTACCACTTTGATTTGTAACTTTTGTGTTTAATAAGAAACTTTCTTGTGAATATAGCCCATTCAATCACACGTATGGGTTCATTTGTTTGTTATGTTGTTATAATTGTTTTATCATATTTTATTACAAGTAATTTATGGCTCGCTCGGTGTATTTTTATTTGATTTGACTGGATTGTTACGCTCGTGAAAACTTATTTAACTAAATTACTAAAGCAAAATCTTCAATAAGAGTTAATAAGCAATTGTTTTGCTACATAATAATGAAAAACTGATCATGACACGTTTTTCAAATCTAACATGTAAATGTAGCCTAACATCTCAACCGAAATTACATCCGTATGATTGTTTCTATAGTTCCACTGGGGGGTTTCCGCGCTGTCAGAAAACCCCAAATGCGTTATTTCCAGCATTTATTATTACGTATTTTTCAAGAGAAAGAAAAAGTACATCAGTTGTACCTTTTTGTATTATGTTATTTTATGTTTTTCTTTGTCTGATTGTAATGCACATCTAGGAGCAGGACACACACACACACACCCACACACACACACACGCACACGCACACCACACACACACACGCCCCCTCTATAGATTACATATTTGTGTTTTAACTGCTCTATTGTTCCTCCTTTGTTCAACCACACTTGAACACAAGTGCACTTGCCACTCAACGTTAATATCGATAACCCAGTCCAAGGTTAAACATGTTCACCTGAAACTATCAATCACATTAGCAAACTCCCCTTCGTACATGTTATGTGACAGGCTGTTTTGCATATTTTGGAAAACACATATGATGTTATGGTATGCTAAGTACACACTGAGCACAACAACAAGCTTTTAAGTGACACAAAGAACAAAGGGTAAAGTCTGTCTGCCCTCAATACACTAACATCAGAGGTTTGCATGCTGCATAGTGGGTCAAGCTGTTGTCATCACACGTAAAATCCGAACAGTACCAACAGAGTCTTTGAGAATGGCAGCAGGTCACTGTTAAGTTACCAGGCACACAGTAAACATGGTGTCCAGATTGAGAAGCCATCTCGCCTCATCAATGATACACTGATGAGATCAAACAATTGACACGCATAGGTGAAGTAATCAGAGAAGACAAACACCATCATGTGAATGTCAATAAGTTCCTGTAGTATCTACAAACAAACATTTAGTATGATGCAAACTAGTTTAAACCATAACTCATGTGTCTGCCTTTATTAGAATATATTAAACTGAACCAGTAGTGATATATGGGATGGTGCATGTTTCCAGAACAACTGGCCTTGGGCCTAAGATTTGTTATGAACAATTCATTTTCATTAGGGAAAAGAAAATGGTTCTGTTTCCGGTTTGTTACTCTGTATTTTTCACAGGTTTTAAATGGTTCATACGTTTAACAAATCTTATATTTTAAACCGTAAATGAACTGCTAATTTCTTTGTTTGGATGTGAAATGATTGCTCGATTAATTGATTACCTGACATTTGTATAAAAACCAAAATCATTTCTAAAATATAAATATTAACTTTTTTGTCCTCCTTTTCACAGAACGCCTTTGTTTATGTAATGATTTGACAGAAAATCATTATGTTATGCTATGGCATCTTTTACGCTTCACTTGAAGGCATTTAGGTACAAGGTCTATTTAGCATTCTTCACAGTCACAAAAATCTGATACTTTAAAACCTACCAGAAAAACCTGTGTTCACGTGTTAGACAAAGGGACCTCTTGCAAGATTTATAACCTTTTGCCTGTGGGGAATGTTGGATTGAACATATTTGAGTGATGGAAAGCAAAACAGTGATTGAGAAAGCTGCTGCAACAACAGCCATGAACCAAACTTGTTTTTTGTCTCTGTCACAGACTAATAACTGAGTGAAACCACTATAACATTTGAGCATCCATAATAATCTAACAGCAACACATATTTGTTAGTGATTTAAAGTTACTACCTTTGCTTGTTGTGTCACAGGCTCATCACTGCTCTAAAGTGGAGGCTGTGGCCATGTCCTCCAGGGCAAATAATAATTTTCTCTCAACATATTTTACATGCTGAAGCAACAGTGGTGTGTTTCAAGCCACAATAACAAATGAGTGTCTGCACCTCAAAGTTCAAGGCACCACTTTCTTGTCAGGGACAGGATGTTAGCGTGCTGAGCCACTTCAGCTGCAAAAGTTTGAATTGCCTTGGCCTTTATCTCGCTGTTCTTTCTGGTCAGGCTGACACTGACACCCAACCCAAACAGACACGCTATCAGAGAAAAACAGCACAGTGTGCTCATTGGATTTGCATTTGAAAAAAGTACTTAATGCCAACACGGCAGCACTAGTTTGCATCTTGTTTGCCTGTATACAAACTAAATTCCATGCCAGGAACTCTTTTACTCACGCTCGACACAGTGCTTGCCTGAAGGTAATACAAATAAACTCATGAGCAACTGCACAGGGAAGTGCTGTTATCACCCGAGCTGAAGTTCCTGCTCCCCCGCGTCTCATTAAAGGGAAGTCACCGTCTGTTACCAAAAACGCAAATCACTCTACTTCTTTGTACTTGGTTTTGCAAAGAAATGTGATTATATAGCCACATACTTATACTCATGTACACAAAATCAACAAGATGAATGTGTTGTCAGTTTCAAATTAATTGTATTTAATCTTTTGCTTCTACAGTCACCATGAAAAAAGAGGTAGAGGCTGGCGTAAACTTCCTCAAACGCCTGGCTGTGGCACATGGCAAGCTCAGTAAAGACAAAGCAGATCTGTTTTCTGAGAAGCTACAGAAGCTTTTATGTGATAAATATGATGATCACTGGTATCCTGACTCCCCCAGCAAAGGCCAGGCATACAGGTAAATAAAAATACATTATCTTAATATTAAATATGCACACATTTTTGTCACTGAAAGTCTTTTTTGTCTCTGCAAAGATGATGTGTTTATATCCTGCATCATCATCTGAAAAACACTGTATTATAGAGAAAGATATCCACGTTGCAACATAAATAATCTTAACGGTGAATCTTTACAGATGCATCCGGATGAATAACGGAGTACCTTGTGATGACGCAATCCTGAAAGCCTGTGAAGAGAGTGAGTTCACGCCCAGGGAACTAGGCCTGCCGTCTGAGTTAACGGTGTGGATCGACCCACTGGAGGTGTGTGCAAGGTGAGTCACCGGCTGGCCTCAGGCAGAGAATGACACACAAACACTTCAGCAACAAAGAGGCATTTCAGAGTCTAGCCAAGAATTATGAGTGAGTTGTTGTCACGAGTCATTCTGTGAAATGATACATTACATTTGGGAAGTGATAAATATAGATAAGGTTAACAGTGACATTAACAAGGACTGTTGTATTGAATAATGCACATTCTCTTCACAGATCTGCAGAGATAGGCAGGCCATTCACAGTTGCCTGTTTTGAAGAGGAAGCTATGGAGGGAAAGCAGACAGACTCGTCTGGGGACTCCATCAATCTGGACACATCAGATTACCACTCTGCTACCTCTTCAGATTGTGGTTCCACTGCGTCTAGCGACACAGAGGAGGAGGCAAAAGATGGCGAGCTGGAGGCGGAAGTGGACGTGAAGGCAAAGGCGGACGCAGAGAAAGAAAAAGAAAAGAAGGAGGTTGTCAAGAAGGATGCAGCAGAAAGCAACGCCTACACGGTAGCAATGATGCCCAGGATTCGGAATCGACACGGAGAAGGACCACATATGGTCAAATACGTCAGAAATATGGTAATTTGTTGCCTCTCTTTAAGGGACATCTGTAGAGATCTCACAATAAGTGCAAGCCCTGTGCTATTCTATATACCTCTCACTGTAAGGAATTCCCACAATGACCAAAGCACATTTTATCATATTAGTCCTGGTATATTTCATTTCTCTGTGCCATAGAGCTTCATTGTGGTGTTAAACTTTAATTAAACGCCACAGTGCTGTAATGATCAGTAGATCAATAGAGCCAAAGTCTGTGAAAAGTTTTAAACACAATAAATTGACAACCTAGTACTAACACAACATACACACCCTTAAAAAGTTCAGACTACATACTTTTGTATATAGGTTGTAGCTAAAGCTGCGGTCAGTCTTCACCCTTTATTGACATTTTAGTATTGCATATTCTAGAAAGGAAAGTCCCAATGAATCCTCCCATATGGATAAAAGTGTTTTTAACACCCGTGCTAGAAACTCTCCCCTTTCCCTTCTAATCTCTCATTCTCCTTCCAATCTTTCTCTCCGTTCAGCTCCCTGCCAGCCTCCAGTACTTCTACCACCCTGCGCAGGTTTGGCCTCAGTACAAGAAGGGCGCTCCAGTGTTTATCAACGCGATGTGCACGCCTCCGCCACCTCCGCCTCCGCCCCAGCAGGTATTTGGCTACTACTTTTTGCCCCAGCCAACTCCGCAGTTCATTCTGCCTCAGGCCACACTGCAGCCGTGGGGAGCTGTGATGGGTTAGACTATCCAGGAAGTGTGGGGTGAAAGTGGGTAGAGCATTAAAAGCTCCTTCATCTGAGCCATGTCAGTTCTTTGAGTCCAGCTAAACTGAAAAAATGACTGTATAGTTCAAGGTTATTCCTTGTACATCCTGTAATGATTCCCTTTTCCTTTTGGTTTCTTGTAATTTATGGCTTTTACTTGGCACAAAGATGCCATTGAACTTGAGCAAAAACTGTTAAAAGAATGCGTCAGATCTGCACTGCTTATTTTTTTAATGTACACATTTATATTGACTTCAATCACTGGGTGCTTGGACTAACTCAGGAACTCTCAGCAATATCCTATTCACCAAATATTTGTCTCTTCAAGGTGTTATTTTTGTTATGTTACTCTCTTTCTTAGTGTTTTTACTCAGTGTGTACGTCGGAGTTAATCAATGGAAAATGTGATTCAGGGGTTTTATCTATCTATGTAGCTAGAGTGGCAATATCTGTATATGAGAAGAATATTTTTACTAAACCGCACACTTTTTAATCTGTCTTTTTGTTGTAATTTATTTGGCCACCAGTAGATGGCACTCAACTCACAGTGTATATTTTTTGTATTAACAGTAGCTGTTGTATTTTGCAAGATCTAACTTCACGAAGACATAACAAAATGTAATCTTTTCGTTATTGCTTGTAGTAAGATGAATAGATAGATCAGGTGTATATGGTTTTATGGCTGCTTATAGCTTTTGTGTTTTTTTTGAACAACATTTTTATTGTAGCTCACACTTTCTGCAAAAATGTAAAGCAATCTCTGTTTACTAAATCCTGAATAGGGCAGAGTTTTCACTCTCTGACGATGCGCATGTATTGTTGATATTTAACGTATTGCTGGCAGACTATTCATTCAAATGTACATTGGCAAGGCTCAAAACTGATCTGTTTAGCTTAAGCATTGTTTCTGTTTTCTGTTTTCAGCATAGCAAATTACTTTTATTGCAGTGAGACGACCAGCATTAAATTACATCCTATAATCGTGAAAGTAAGCAAGTGTGTTATTTTTGATTATTTCNGTGAAGGGTTGGAGCATCCAGGAAGTGTGGGGTGAAGGTGGGTAGAGCGTTACTAGCTCCTTCATCTGGGCCATGTCAGTTCTCTGAGTCCAGCTAGACTGAAACAAATGACTGTATAGTTCAAGGTTATACCACCTCGTACATCCTGTAATGATTCCCATTTCCTTTTGGTTTCTTGTAATTTATGGCTTTTCACATTTATATTGACTTCAATCACTGGGTGCTTGGACTAACTCAGGAACTCTCAGCAATATCCTATTTACAAATATGTGTCTCTTCAGGTGTTATTTTTGTTATGTTAATCTCTTTCTTAGTGTTCTCACTCAGTGTGCACGTCGGAGTTAATCAATGTAAAATGTGATTCAGGGGTTTTATCTATCTATGTAGCTAGAGTGGCAATATCTGTATATGAGAAGAATATTTTTACTAAACTGCTTGTAAATAATACAACATTTGGATAACATAGACTTACGTACATTTTTCTCAGTCTTTTTGTTGTAATTTATTTGGCCACCAGTAGATGGCACTCAACTCACAGTGTATATTTTTTGTATTAACAGTAGCTGTTGTATTTTGCAAATCTAACTTCACAGAACATAACAAAATGTATATTGCTTATTGCTGTCAGTAAGATGAATAGATAATCAGGTGTATATGTTTTATGGCTGCTTATAGCTTTGTGTTTTTTTTACACATTTTTATTGTAGATAACTTTCCTTGCAAAAATGTAAACAATCTGTTATAAATCCTGAATACAAGTTTCACTCTCTGACTCGCATGTATTGTGATTATTTAACTATTCATGCATATTCATTAAATGTCATTGCAAGCTCAAAACTCATCTGTTTACTTAAGCATTGTTTTGTTTTCTGTTTTCACATTAGCAAATTACCTTATTATTGCAGGAGCTTAAATTAATCCTATATCTGAAAGTAACAAGTGTGTTATTTTTGATTATTTCTGGCACTTTACAGAGCAGAGCTTGGTGCTGTATAGAAGTACTTTCTCATAACAAATATTTGGACATGACCTAGAAAACACTTTTGAAGGCCATACTTTTTGTCACTCACATTTGTAAGGATCATCATTACTGTCAGCCACCCAGCAGGATGTTGCAGCGGAAAGCCCAAGGTCATGGTGCTATTTCTCCTTGAAGGCCTGGTAATGAGAGTGAGTGAATAGATGTGCCTTACTTTAGTTTCTGCCTTCTGGATGATTTGTGGGGAAATGAAAGGACGTTTTGAAACTTAAAGTGTATTGGAAAACGTAAGAATACAGATGGATAAAATGACAATTCATCCAAGGAAAAATTGTACCAGCAACACAGCTGGGACAGGAATGGGAAGTACTCGAATAAACTATAGGAATATTTACAATACTATTTTAAAGCTTAAAGGCAAATATCTAAAATTGCAGATGTGGGAAAAGTACTTAGATTTTGTACAAAAAGTATAAAAGTATAAAAGTAGAATTATCCAATTGTATAGGAATACTCTCAAGTAAAAGTCCTGCATTCAAAAGTTTACTCAAGTAAAAGTACAAAAGCATTAGCATCAAAATATACTTAGTAAAGTACTCCTGCAGAATGATCCATTTCAGAATAATATATATAATATGTTTTGATTATAATTATTAATGCATTAAAGTGTTTATCAAAGCTGGTAAAGGTTCAGCTAGTTTTAATGACGTTATATACTGCAGGGTAGCTTGTGAATTTACTCCAGGTGTAACTTGAGTCTTATTTAAGTGTTGTTTATATTTCACATCATTAATCCAAATCTGTAAAGTAACTAAGGAGGTCTCTCAGTTCACCTCCTGCCCTGCCGTGGTGCCCCCTTCCCCCCCTCACTCCCATTGCTCCCCGGGCGCTGTACAATAGCTGCCCACTGCTCCTAGTACTAGACTCCTGGTACTAGGATGGGTTAAAAGCAGAGAACACATTTCACTATGTGTGCTGTGTGCTCTGCATGTGTGACCATTAAAGAGGGTCTCATCCCCAATTATTCTATTCTAAATACATGTAGTTGAGTAAAAGTACACGATTTACCTCTGAATTGTATTGGAGAAGAAGTACAAAGTAGCAAATATCAAGTAAAGTACCTCCACATTGTTGAATAGCTGAAGAGTGAATGGACAGTTATGATTGATTGTCAATGAGAATAAACCTTGACTATTGTTTGGGTCACAGCAAGTTGAAGGGTGTAATCAACCACAAGATGTCACTGTGTAACTATGCACACGCTGCACTACAGAGTGTGCAAACAATTCTATTTTTTATGATAAATGATAACATGTATAACGTTTCTTTCGTGTTAGTTTTTTTTCTACAGAAAAGGTATAATGTGTTTTGTGACCTGGTAATTTAAACAAAGCTTTAACGTCATATTTAAATTAGCTTTTCCACCAACATTGGAATTTATGTTATCAGACGTATCCAAATCAATTGAAAAGTTATGTTCCTGAACATCTAGTTCCGTGACCATGCTCCTCTGAGACTACTCTATGGAGCTATATCAGGGTCATACGTTTTGATCATTAAAAAAAAATACAATTTATTTGAAAGTTCAAGTTTTTATCCTGAACTTTGAAAAATACAATGATGTATTCAAAATAAAAATAAGTATTTGAAATAACTTTTCAGGTTGAATATTATTTTGATTCAGTTCTGCAATTTTTTTGAATTAAATATTTATTTTCCTATTTCACTATATATTTTGATATTTGAATCCTTATTTTTTTCAGTTGCAGATTTTACGTTTACAGATTCAAAACATCATTGTTTCAGTTTAAAATCTTGTTTTTTCAGGTTTCACATTTTTTTTCGCCTTCAGATCTTTTTTTTCGCTTTCAAACTTTGGCCCTGATGTTGCTTGGGGGGCGGGGCTTACCAAAGAGTAGTTTGGCATCCTGAGTGACAGGCCTCCCTCTGTCATGTTGCCTTCATGGATGTTAGGTAGCGCGAGAAATATAACTCAACACTTTCTATACACAATACTCCCGTGATTGGTGGTAAACCAAACTGATACCAGCGTCAAAGTTCCGTTAAGCGAGCTGTTGAGTATCGTATAGTTCAGAATCAGAATACCTTTATTAGTCCCACAGAGGGGAAATGTACGTTGTTACAGCAGAAAAACAGCCACATACAGCTTAATGTTACATTATGTTACATAATGTTACATGCATAACATTGTATTAAAATACAATTTACAAAATACACATCCTGTAACAGTTCTGAGGATTTAGCAGCCAGGTATTGCACATAGTTGGCATTTAACAGCAAGGGGTGTTATAGTCTGCGTTGTTGTGTGTGTGGGGTGGGGTCTACTAGGGGCCGTGGTGGTTGTATGGTCTGACCGCTGCATGAAGGAAGGACCTGTGGTCTGTCTCCGTGAGACAGCGGGGGATGGCGTCAGGTCCACCAGAACAACCTGTTGGCTCGTTGCGGATACGTAATTTCACATTCTATCACAGTTTATTGCTCTTATACAGCGATTGTTGCCAACTACGATGCTCAACAGCTCGCTTAACGGAACTTTGAGTATCACGGCAGTATTGTGTATAGAAAGTGTCGAGTTATATATATTTCTCGCGCTACCTAACATCCATGAAGGCAACATGACGGAGGGAGGCCTGTCACTCATGATGCCAAACTACTCTTTGGTAAGCCCCGCCCCCAAGCAACATCAGGGCCAAAAGTTTGAAAGCGAAAAAATATATCTGAAAGTGAAAAAATATCTGAAGGCGAAAAAAAATGTGAAAACTGAAAAAACAAGATTTGAGACCTGATCAAATTATTGTTATGAATCTGAAAAGGTAAAATCTGCAACTGAAAAAAACAAGGATTCAAATATCAAAATATGTAGTGAAATGTGAAGATAAATATTTCATTCAAAAAAATTGCTGAACTGAATCAAAAAATTATATTCAACCTGAACAATTATTTCAAATACTTATTTTATTTTGAATACATCACTGTGTTTTTCAAAGTTCAGGATAAAAACTTGAACTTTCAAATAAATTGTATTTTTTTGAAAGATCAAAACCTATGACCCTGATATAGCCTATAGCTCCATACTACTCACGCACAGCACACAACGAATTTAATTGGGGAGAGACTGACAATATTAGCGAATGCAAAAAAGGGTACATCGCCCACTGCAGTGTGCAAATGGCATCATTACGCGTAACCACGCCACACCAGTTGGTAGGAGTGTTAAGGTGAGGGTGTGTTAAGCCAAGTGTTTTGGTAAATCCGCTACTTCGATGAGCGTCAAACGAGAGAAGGGCCTGGTACACAGTGCGCCCAGCGGACTATGCCTTCTCCAACTCGGGAGGAAAGCAAAGGGGAGACCGGACAGGCAGAGCACGGAGCGACGGACAGCGGCGACAGGGAGAGAGGGACAGGCAACCGCCTCGCATGCGCTTTGGAGATGGAGATGACAACCCACAGTCTGCACGGCGACTCCAAACTGGACAGTGTGAATTGCGATGGCTTGATCAACCGAAACGGAGGAGACTCCGCAGAAGTGTCCGTGCCGCTGTCACTTCCCGGGAAGCGGACAGCTCACATGGAGGGAGACGACCTCTACAGACTGCGAGACAGAAAGTTTTTATTAGAGGATAAAAAGCGACTTTGCGCATTGGCTCTGGGGACTGCTCTGCTCGGGATACTTCTCACAATAATCCACGCCGAGATATGTCCCCTCGTTTATACACCGGTAGGTTATTTTAACACGGACCTCATCATGATTGAACTGCACAACAGAATCATATTATTAGATTGTAAATGTTTGAAATGTGACACTTGTGGTTGGCATATTTTATCTTAAAGCCATAGCCTTACAGCATGTTAGCCCATCCCGGTTTTCACTGAAAATGTCAATCTCACAAATCAAAATGTATGAGTGACATATTACACTCTCTGCAAGCATTTCCATGGATAGATTAACGTATAGCGTCCATTTTCATCTACATTTGCGAAGTACTATCATTTAAAAAACATTACTTGTATCCTACTTTGTGTTGTCAGCTGGTCGAGACACCTTGGTGTTGGTCCTTGAACGCATCATCAAACGATAGAATATCTAGAATATCATCAGTGGATAGAAAAACTGTTAACAATTGGTCTCCTTCTTCAAATCTCCTCTTATGTCGCAGTTACAACTCTTTTAAATAGTTTTTTACTTATAGTTTTTATAGAACGGATACAAATAAATGAATAGGCCTACGTTCATATTAAACATGTCATCTTTTATTCACAATATATTTCAGAAACGTAATTGATCATAAATGATGCAGAAAAACCCCTCACACAACTGGCTGTATTTGTTATCATAACAACTTCCTTGATTAGCAGAGCCTCATGCAGCACAACAGCAGAGCCTGCACCTGGGCTTTGACCCCCACTGACCTGCTGATTAGTTAGTCCATTTCCAGACACACTACTTGGTAGCACAGCCTCATGACATTAACATGCAGATCTCAGTGGATAACAATGCCAGGCCACACAATCAACAAATTATTAACTCCCCTGACTTCCTACAGCACACGCCAATTCCACATGTGGAAAAAAGTTCTCATGCACGCCACAAAATACATCAGACCACCTCCGTGCTGTGAAGTCAGTGATTGATTACAGTATCAAAGAGCCCCCACATTCATCAGCTACAATCTTTTGAAAAAACCTATGGAAATGACCTTCCGTGTTGAGAGAGTTGGACTGGGAGAAGCATGGTTGTGAAATGAACGGCTCTGGTACGAATATAACATTACTATTCCAGTTTACAAATACGAACCAAGAACAGGTGTTGTCTGTCTGTTCTTAACAACAGGCATCAGCTTCTGTACCATGGAAAAGCTGATGCACTGGAAAAACTTTTCTTTGCCGCAGTCAAAGCATATTATTTTGGAGAGGCAGCGTTTATTTTTTAACCATGGCCTTATATAACTGTTTTTAGCATTCATCTTTAAACTTCATGTGATGTCATTAAGTCATGAGTGTGAGCTGTGAGATCTTTCTCCACTGTGGACTGACATATAGGGGCTGTTTAAAAAAATACGGCATCCCTGCAGTGGCCTGAAGCACACTACAGCATTATTGTTTTGTTTTTTTAAAGCCATTTTAAGTGCACTGCAGAATATTTTGGAGCTTGTAGGCCAATCAAATCTAACAGCAGTCTACAAAGTGATATATTTAAATGACCTTTTAATGGTTATGCATGAAAAACAGGGGTATTTATGGAAAAAAAATCCACATTTCACCTCTTCCCCTACAACTAGAATGCTCACGGTACTTCGGGCTATCTTTCCACATCATTTAGTGTATAATTAGAGTGTTTGCATGGCCGGTCTGAAGGTCTCTCTGTCTTGAGTTTGACTGCACTCCAGCCCGGAGTGTGCTCACCTTTACCTGAATGCAACCTTGTGTCCTTTTTTTTTACAACTCTTCAACAACTTTTCTGGGATGACACATAACAAATCAAACACTATCCACACATTGAGACGTCCTGTTTTAAAGATGGGGTAGGTCATTTTGGAGAAACCAGCTCGAGTGCGCTAGAATTTGAAAATACACAGCCGGAAAAAATCTGCCACTTCCTTACAGAGCCCCTAACACACACGAACGTGCACATGACCAATTAGGGCACGAGATAAGTTTGTGCACGAGATGGAAGGCTGACAGGCAGGTAGGCCATCCAGTTCTTTTAGCCGGCCCGGCTAAAAGGATTGGTCGTGCTTTTAACAGTACTACGGCTTTCACAGATGACGTTTTTTTATGGATTTTTTGTCAAAGCACTTAAGATATTCATTGCTATCGGGATGTTAAAGGTGCGGTAGGTAAGTTTGAGAAAAATAAAAGAAGCTTAGTGGAATTCAGCCATCATTAATTTCCTTCTGTGTTTTTCTTATCATGGCAAGTCAAAAGTCCAGATTTTTCTGGGAGGGGTGATGAGACTCTGTATCTGACCGTTAAGATGAAAAGCAGCAGTAATTAGAGGACCAGGATGGCCTTTTTAACAGCGTGCAATGAAGTGCCCTACTCACCTTGGGTTTTAGGACAAGTGATCTGCAGGCTTTGGTTGTTTCTGACAGCTTATCAGCCACACCTGTCCTGTATAGTGTCTACCTCGTCAGGGCTTTAATTCAAACAAAAATAAATACAGTAGGTGTCACCAAATAGTTTTTTCAAGTTACCCTTTATCACACTAACACGTGTTTTTGTTTGGTATTAACAAGACCCGCAAAGGTTGTACGCGCTGTGTATTTCCTTTCCTATGACTGCCCAGCCACACCACACTCTTGTAGGATATTATTTCTTAGCCTTTCCTTAAAGGAGACCTATCATGCTATATTTGAATAATATATTGTAGGGCCATACCTATATAAGGTATATTTATACGGGTTTTTTTCAAAATACCAAACATATCAGGCATTTTAGCCATACCTCATTTTGCTCTATTTTCCTCTCCTCCACCCTGTCTTTGCATGCGCTGCAGCTGACCACGCCCCCCTGCAAAGGAGGGGGCTGAGTTACAAGCGTCATGTTACCATGCTGTTACCATGCTGTTACCATGCCATGGCAACCTCTCATTCCCCTGATAGGTGGAGAGTTGGCCATATAGGCGGAGCTCCTCGTCACTGACGTCAGACTATTTTAAAATCTGTATCAGTCTGTATCAGATCCGTTCCAGCCCCTTTTTTTTTTTTAGAGATTTGGGTATGGAGGAAAAGAGAGACGGTTGTGTTTTCTGACACTTGGTGAGTTCCCTGACACACCGGGGACACATATTCATGTATAAAAGACGTACAAAAGTGCATTTTGCATGATAGGTCCCCTTTAAGTGAATTACAGGATACCTCAACCTTCACGAGCACAAGAATCTACATGAAAGCTAATGGAACCACACCAACTAACAAACCAAATAAGAAAACTTTAGTCAGATTTATGTAGTATTTCTTTGGCAAATATTTATTCAGTTCAGTTCTTACGAACCAGACCACCTTCTATTGGACTGGATTTAGTTTTTTTCTTCTTCTATGCCTTGGGTGGCCTGAACTGACGATGGCTCAATGTCTGTCCAAGAATATGAGAAAACTGAAACTGTGTTAAGGTTAACCCAGATTAGGTTCACTGGGCTCTAAATAACAGTTTTCAACATGTTGTTGAAATCTCTGTTATGGAGTGTGGTGAAATGTTGAACTTTTGTGGGGTATTTTAATTAGCCCTGGACGAAATACAGACATGATGTGAACGTTACGTGAGAAACTGGAAAATGGCGTACTTTGCCAATGGACGTCACGCCAAACAACCTACACGCTCAAGTTTCCTCAAGTTCGAAAGTTTGTAATTATCTTTTTTTAACTGTAAACCACATGCAGCGGAACTGTTTAAAACTTCCATTGACGTTGCATGTTGAATGAAGGTTAGGTTCATTTTAACCTGCTGAGACAAAGGTGGTATGACAGAGGCCGATGCTTAAATCATCTGTTTCCCCAGCTGTCAGTTTGCTGGATTGGAAAGTATTTAATTACAGGAGCAATCGTTACTGTAACCGAGTGGCTTTTATATATCCGTTTGCAGTACATTTCTGAACCAGTAATTCCACTTTCATCGGGCCTAAGAACTGTTAAATTAAGCTCTATCTGGAAAGGCACACATTTAATTGTAGCCACCAGTTATGTTCTTATAACACAATCAGCAGGATATTTCTTTAAAATTTGTTCTAAATTAAGTTTTATAGAAGGGAAATCTCTTGCACAACTTTTATTATGGTGGTTTACACAGTTTTAACAGCATTACGGATTGGAGAGAGATTGATTGGATTAATTGTGGAAAGCTCATTCAAACTACAGTAAAAGTAGCCTAAATGTTCTACGTACGAACTACTTACTTCTCTAGGATTCTGCCACAGTGGAATGTAAGTTTTGTACTGCAAAAGGTCCATCAGGTCACATGTGCCTGCAGTGACAAAGTCTTACTAAGTCACTGTCTGCAAGTAAAAGCCTTGATAAAACCTTGATAATGGACAACAGTTACGGTAAGAAATAACATCTTTTCAACTTATCTCCCATGTCTCCATTTCCTTCCCAGGGCTCAAACATTGCCTTATTCATCAACTGTTCCATCAGCCTCTCCACTGGGTGTCTCCTCATCCTAATCATAGCTTTCCATTATAAGGACATCAGGGTGAGTTTGGCTTTTCTCATTTCGTATGCAACAGGCGCCTTCATTGTGTTCTAGAATGTGAGTGGTAGCCTTTGAGTGTGCATGCACAGATGCATCATTGCCAGATTTTGTGCTTCACTTTTTGTACCAGTTTTTGTTTGTTCCTAATTAGCTTAGTTATGATGATAACACTTTTGGGAGATACCTAAAGGGCAATTAATTTAGAAGGATCTCTCAGTCCATAGATGGTAGCCTCAACAATCATAATCTGTGTTAAATTTGCAAAATGCGTAAATAACCCGGGACAAAACAAGACAAAAAAGCCCACTCACGCATATACTATGTTGCAGCTGGGCTATTTTTCCAATCCACATGGCTCTCTGCCGTTGTGTGTGAACTTGATATACCTGAAGGGATTTGGTTTGAATTAAACAGAGTAAACATTCTTCCATTTGCCCTCATGCACACTCATAGCATGCATATCTAACAAAATGCAGTATGAACAACAAGTTCCGAAATGTTTTGGTCAGGCTTCTGGGTTTATACTCTCAACTACAGTGTTTTCAGTTTGGTTGCAAGTTACGTGTGTCTGATACAAGCAAACTTATTGCAAGTGAAAAGAGAAGATAAGGGAGGTCGAGGGTGGAGACACAGGCAATGTTTTGCGATGACTGATTTAAATATTGTATTTCAGATGTGACAAACTAAGTCAGCCAAATCATTAAGACCCTTAAAATCAGTGGAGGACAGGAGAAAGTTAACCTGCTTAATATTTTTATGCTCTTGAATCAACTGACCACAGTTAAGAAATATATTGACAGAAGAACACATTCTCATTTCTCAAGAATGAAATCATAGAATACAAGTTTCCTTCCGGTTTCCGTTAGATATCTGTGGTTTCACATCTTTGGAGATTTTAAAACCGTTGATCTTCTCACTGAGACACCGGACGTACTGTTTAGAACTTTTAATTCCATACAACAAAACAAATCCCAAGTTTCTGCAACTCCTGCATGCCACATAATGAGATTGGACAGTGGATGTTCTTTTTGAAAAAATATATTAGCATTTTATTTGCTGCAATGTTGTCCAGACAGAATTATAAAATATATTTAGTCCAAGGTTTAAGGAAACTCTTAGGAAAACGTAGGAAAATAAGAAATTAAGTTGGTGACGATATTGAGTGTTACGTACAATATATGGTATACGTTTCAAAGTGAATTCCGTACATTAACATTCAGATGTGCTGTATTCTTACTACTTTCCATCAGCACTCTTGTACTTTTCTTCTCTCACTCTGTCTTTTCTCTCGTCCTACATCTTTCAGCTGTTTGTCATTGACCACAACCAGGTGGACTGGCGTATTGCCATGACCAGCCAGAGGGTGCTTGTGATCACTCTGGAGTTGTTGGTCTGCGTCATCCATCCTGTTGGCACATACTGGGAGGTGGGCCTCCACACAAACTCCTCTTCCTCAGCTCCACTCTGTGTTTCCATCCACCATGGCAGGGCCCTGATGGACATGGAGCTGCTGTTATCAGTCCTGATGTTCCTCCGCTTGTACTTGGTGCACAGAGCCATCCTGCTGCACAGCAAAGTGCTGCTGAGCGCCTCCTACAGGAGCATCGGCTCGCTCAACAACATCAACTTCACCTTTCGCTTTGTACTCAAGATACTGATGAACAAATACCCAGCGCGCACCCTGCTGGCCTTCATCCTCTTCTTCTGGCTCACTGCTTCCTGGATGCTTACTCTGTGTGAGAGGTAGGGAAGAGAACTGTATATGTGCAAAGGTACAAGTTTACAAAATATATTCACAAATAAGAGACACTTGCATCAACCCTGGAGATTGTCTGTTAAAATGATGAGGGGCTTCCATCAAACATTGTTTTAAATGGGAAAGCCTTCAATTGCCAGTCTACCTTGAAATACAGTTGAATTCTTAAACTAATATAGGTTACAGCTGTAAATTAAAAGAAAGACTGAAGAAGATTGACAGCCCTCTCATTTGTTTATGTTATCTTTGAAGCTACAGTCAGAAGATGAGCTTAGCTCAGCATGCACACTAAAAGCAGGCATAAAGCTAACATGGATGCTTTCCAATGTAGGGCAAAAGGGCCAAATTAAATGAGATTTTACGAGTGGTAATGTGTCAAACTATTTTCTTGCCTGAAGCAGTAACTACTTTACCTACTTTTTAACTACTTTAACTACTTTACTTTACTTTACTACCTTTGGACCTATGGAGTCAGGCTAGCTGTTTCCACATTTCCAGTGTTAGTGCTAAGCTAAGCTAGCAGTCTGCTGCCTGATAATTCAGGTTAGTGTACAGATATAAGGGCAGTATTCATTTTCTCCTTTAACTCTAAAAAGCAAACACTTGTATTTTTTATCCTAAGTTTTTAAACATAGGCTACAGCTTAAAATAAAGCAAATCTTAAAATCCTTCTTCAAAGCTTAAACTTCACTTAAAATGTCACCAGCCTGCAACAATGTTCCTCTAACATATCTGAGTATAATCTTTGCTTGATTGTTTCTAGTTTTATAATAGAGCTGTTCCTGCTTAACAAATATTGACTGGACCTAGGTTGAAAAAGTAACAGCGGAAGAATGCCGGATGTTTGCTTTCCCCAATAATCAATGTGGATAATATTAGTTTTTGACACTAACATTCCTAACTAGCTGTATTACAGTGAACTGAATTTCTCTGTCAGGATGTCAGTTGTCAGGGGCTTTTATGCTCAATAGTGAATATAGAACTTTTCAAATTGTGATTCCTGAAAGATTAGACGTAGCACTCATAATACAGCACACAATCATCCAAAAAGAAAACCGTACCTCCACCAATAATTACTTTATGTTTCTTTCACTTTTATTCTAAGGAAATGTAATGTTATTCTCATAGGTGCCTACATACATAAACCCACCGTACAGACTGTTACTATTTTCCAACAAACTTCCTCTCCCCGTGACCTACATTAGCATTTAAAACAACAACATATTTGGTAGTTTAACCGTCCTCCTTAAACCTTGATAGTCAATTTGACCTTCCTGTTCAGAAGGATGTCCAATTAACTGATCTGACTATCATCCAATTTTATGTTGTTACTCTAACAATTTGCTGTTGAACACAAGCCAACTAAATGTCAACTTTATCCTCCGCAGACTGTTTGAACAGTGAGGTAATTGGTTCTTTTGAACTCTAATGGGAGGTTTAGCCTTCAGTTGCACATGTCTTAGTCTGGTATGTTTTCATTTATCAAAAGTCATAAAGAGCTTAAGATTGATAGCTAATAAGACCACCAAGCCTTTTTAACGCTGAGTTGTTACACCAGTCGTGCTGCTTACCACCTCCAGGAGACAGTCGATCCCTCACACACTTTTGTAACATCTTTGTGCGGTTTCTGCTAAGTGTACAATGGACTTATGCTTTTTATGGATTTACAAGTTTACTGGTACACACTTCCTGACTACCAAAGTACTGTCGAGCATCTGTTCTGATTACACAGTTTGATTAACAGACCACACCTTTAATCAACTAAGAAGACTCATTGTGATACAAGGATATGTTTCATTTATTGCTGCAGCTAAGACATAAAGTCCTATATAACTGCAATCATACAATGGTTCCCAGAAAAGACTAAGTCATTCGAAAATAATTGAAGAGAAATTGATTGATTGTAATGAATCATTTAGTACACTTCCAGTTTCTTTGTTCCAATGTTTTTGCTATTATTACCTAAGGAATCTTAAGCAATTTTACAGTAGCTAACATGGAAATATAGAATTTTGTCTAAAAGCAATTTACCAAATGGATAGGGTGGATGATATCACAATAAAATTATACTTCACTTTTTACTCTCAGGGTGTTTGTCATTCTGTTTGTAATAGTTATCACTTAAATATGTTTGGTTATTTAATACCATTCCTACTTTTTCCATCCTGCAGGCAGACCCAGGTTGCCACAAACACAGGCCAAATGGACACGGCGATGTGGCTCATAGCCATCACCTTCCTCACAGTGGGTTATGGGGATGTGGCGCCCCACACCAGCTGTGGAAAGGCAGTGTGTCTCTTCACTGGAGTCATGGTTAGTAGGTTGGGTTGCATCTTGAGAATCATATTATTAAAAATGAGATTTGAGATTGATTATGAAATACAAAGTGTTTGTCAAACTGTGTGCATGTTGAAGTACATAAAGCAAGTGCCGAGGCAATTACTGTATGTGCCGTTTTAATTTCTAGTACTTGCTTTGACCTCCTAACAGCAGCAGTGGTTTTATTTCAAAATACATTAAATGCTTACTTTTATAAACACAAAGAACACCTTTTCTTTGTTCCCTTCTGTATGCGTTTTTTAACGAAAACTCCTTACAAAATGTTTTCTCTGCATGCAAAACCAGCTTGATAAGGCACACAAAACAAGATGTTCTGTAAATGTTCTTCTTCTCTGTTTCTCTTAAATATTCCCTCTACTTTCTTTTTAGTTTAAGTTCTATTTTTCTAATTTTCCCTTGTTTTCTGTTTGATTTGATTTACGGTAATTTGAATGTTTCTATTCAGTTTTATTCTGTTATGATTAGCTCCGTTTTGTTCCATGTGGTTGTGCTACGTTCCATTCCTCCTAATATTTCATGTTCTGGATTATGCTATAATATTGCCTTCTGTTCCGTTCCATGTTGTTCTGCTCTGTTCTGTTCCACATCACCCTCCCTGGTTTGTTTCATTCCTTTCCGTTTTGGTTCTGTTCCATAGCAGCAACTCATCCTCCTTTTTCCTATTTAGTTTTTCCCATTTGATATCAGGTCAGTTCAGTTTGGTTCACTTTTCTCCTGTGTCTCTAGTGTTCCATCCCAGTCTATTCTGCACTAGTTATCTTGGATACATATACGCTTTTGCCCAGCTACACACCCTAGCGGCGCTGACTGACCTGAATGCCTTCATTCCCTTGTGTGCATGATTTAGATCACAGCTGTATATTAATGGCTGTTGCTTGTGCAGGACCTTGGTGGTACCAGGCACTCACACAAAAAGACTGTGGGAGGGAAACTGTCAGCATGCAGTGGGCCCTGTGCAGTCCACACAAAACATCTGCATGGAGTGTGATGTCATTGTTTTGGTGCCCAAAATGGCTTTTCTCTTTGCCATACCACACAGATAACTCTGAAAATATTGCTTAATTGTTTATCTCCTAACATAGAATACAATCATTAAAGTAGCCCACAGAGAAAGTATAGAAAAAATGATAGTCCATTCAAATGGTAAGATGAAGAAAAACGTTTTTTTTCGGTGACAGTAAGATAATATTGTAATGTTATGGTATTGCAAATAAGAAGAAGGTGAATACTAATAAAATAAGGAAGGGAGAGTCAGAGATAAAAACACAAAGGGTTTTCAAGTACAATAAAAAAAAAGTCACTGAAAGCATGAGTAGCCATGTGTTTGAATATTCAACAGACTAGGGTTGACTGCCTCACCTCTGCTGCTTTAAATTCTGTTACAAACAGATAAGAATCTGGATGTGGGCACGAGTCCAGTTCAGACACCTCCGTGACAGAGTGGAAAACAATCTTTCCCCTCTCTCTCTCTCCATCTCCCTTGTTTTTATAAGCTTCCATCCTTATATGGGAAAACTTTCCACCATATCCATTTTTAGGTAGTTTATTGCATTTGGCAGCAGTACAACCGGAGGGTGTGCCAACCTGTGCCGTGATTTGGGGAAAAAAGCCCTACTCCCACCAGGGCAGTTTTGGGAGCCAGTGACTGGCACTCTCACACCTGTAATATAGCTGAACGCCTCTATGCTCGACTCCAGCCATAACTCAATGTCCAGCTGTTTCCAGGGGCTGACAATGCTGTTTACATCACTGTGTGTGGATGGATGCAAGGAAAGAGTTTGTACCTCCCCGGTTGCACAGAGGGTGTAATTATAGATCTTTCGTAGGTGTTGAAGTGATGGTAAAAAATAGATTTTAAACCTGTCCTTTCTTTTCTAATTCTTGATCTTGCTCTCTTCTTTTTATTCTCTGTAATGCAAGCTGAAAAAAGGAAAACAGGTAAAGACTTTCATCATTATCCGTGGTGGACATGAAATCATCGCAGCGATTTTTCTAGGTTTTCTATGACGTATGTATGTCTGTGAATATAAAGTTGTGCAGCCTATCTAAATCCTCACCGTCATTCAGTAGTTCCCTGTACAGTAATAGCACACAGCCATTCTCAGAGGAAACCAGCACTATAACAGTGGCACAGAGGCATGTGCTTAACCATTGAACTCTCTGTGTAAATATAACTATGATTTATTGGACAAAAACCATATGAGGTATGCAGATCAACATCCAGATTTCTAAAAACGTGATGTTCCCATGAGGGTAACACACACGATGTACTGTTTTTAGACAATGTCAGGCTTAAAAACATTGTACAAGTTTCTCTTGAGTGTTGCCTTGTTGATATCACTACAATCTCCAGGATCAATGGCAAACGCTTACATGTTTATTAAAACTCTGTTGAGAAGATGGATAGTAGATTCATCAGTAATTGTGCCAACTGACAGTGTGTTGTGTTTTAGGGTGTAGCATGCACTGCCATGCTGGTGGCTGTTGTTACTAAGACGCTGGCGTTGAACAAAGGAGAGAAACATGTGCACTTCTTCATGCTGGACTTCCAGATCTCTAAAAGGGTAAGTGAAGTTATACAGCAAATGTGTGTTTAATTGTCATAGTTTATATATGAAGAACAATCACCAATTTCTGAATTTGCACTTTCTTGATCACAAATGTGACTTTTGAATGTAAGTACATGGCCAATTTTCACTTGCTGTTTCTTCTCTTCAGATACCAGTATCCTTCTTTTATGTTTTGGCCCATTTACTACAATGTATGCATATAATTGACTTCCAACTTCAAAGCGTGCTGTAATATTTGAGATTTTCCCTTTATTTTTCTCTTTAAAAATCAGCTTGCAGAAACTTGAAACGTGTTTAGGTTAGGAAATCCATCACAATGAACACTATTTATTTTTGTCGAGGTCACTGGAACATTGCGTGTTAATGCAGCTGTGGTAGTGCAGAATGATTTGAAAAATCTGTTCTGCAAAGCCAGACAACAATAACATAACTCAATAAAATAAGTAAAACGCTTTGTTATGCTTTGGAAAATGCTCGTCAGTCATTTAAAATATGTTATTTGCATAGAATTGTCTTTAACTTGTACAATCCTGGTGGTTTGATAAAAAACAAAACAACCATGGAGCAGAATTAAACAATTCTCTGTGGAGAATTTACAATCAAACGTTGGATAAAATAAAACCTAATGACATCACAGGCTCACCTACATCTGTGACAAAAACATAAAGATATGAAGAAAATGTATGTCATGTGTGAAAAAAGGTTCTCCAACAGGAGCTCTTCAACTTGAAAACAGTAGCTCTTATTTTTGTCATAGTATTGATCTAATAATTTAACAAACTTCTACTTCTACTGCCCCCCTCCCCTACATCTGAGGTTGCAAGACAAATAAGATGAATGACAAAGTATGGAGAAGTCAGGAAGGAAGCATCACTACTTTCCGTGTCGTAGGCATGTTTTGGTTTTCTAATCTTATTGAATGATTTTTTTTCCTTAAATAAGAGACACCAGAGGACAGAATAGTGTGGGAAAATAGGGGGGGAAACCTAACCCCTTTACAGCATTTTCAAGGCGTTAAACAGAGGAAATCATCTGATCTCTGTCAGGAAAGAAACTTGTGTCAGTTCAGGACTGTGCAGCGATTGGCAGGAAGCCGGTTGAGTTTACGTACGTGTGTGTTTGTGGGTGCGTGTGTGTGTGGAAGTGGCTTGGACAGGATTCAGGTTTGCTTACTATTATTAAGAAGGAGGTGTCTGATAAAAACACTTGAGGAAACAGTGTCATAAAGCCAGCAAAGTGGCGTAGGACTATACATAATGTGAATTGATTGATATAGTTCCTATCCTACTGTCAGTTGGCGCTCTGTATTCAGTACTACAGCTTCTCACTGTAAGCCAGTGTCGGACTGTAGGTGCACTGCTTCGGAGGATACAACCATTTCCTTTCTCCCACTGGCTGCATCCTGTCACAAGGTGCATCTTTATGCCTTGCTTGCTTGCTTGCTTGTGTGTGTGTGTGTGTGTGTGTGTGTGTGTGTGTGTGTGTGTGTGTGTGTGTGTGTGTGTGTGTGTGTGTGTGTGTGTGTGTGTGAGTGTGTATGAGTGTGTATGAGTGTGTATGAGTGTGTGCATCCTGAGCTATCTGGTGAAGTCCAGATTTACGCTGATGGGAACAAGGGAAGACATCTGGATGCAGACACTGACAGCCCCTATTAATAACCCTCACAACAGGGCCCGAGTGACATCATCAAAGGGCACTAACGGTGATTTGGGCAGGAAAACAAACAGACGTGAATAGAATCAAAGAGAAAGGTGCAAAAAGGTGAAACCTCACTTCTTGTCTCTTGAGTGGCCTGTTCAAATTCTTGTATTCAAGCTTTTTTGGGAATACAAGACCTTCAAAGTTTTGTTTTATCTGAAATAATAATCATAGTGCAATTCAACTCAAGAGGAAAGACTATCTGGATTGAATCAGCTGCCTCAGATGACTCATACTTTTACTTCCTGTGCTTAAATGATTGATATGAACCAGATTCTGATGAAGAAAAAAACACAATAAGCACCGTGTGTTGATTTCAATCAAGCTTGCAAGTTTAAGTGACTTTACCTTGATGGTCTTATAACCCTGTTTGATGTTTCTGTCTCTTCACCAGATCCGCCACGCAGCTGCTAACGTGCTGAGGGAATGCTGGCTTCTGCACCGCGCAAACCTGACAAAGGGCAACCGCGGTGAGCACCGAAGACACCAGAGATGCCTTCTGGAAGCCATCAGAGTGTGAGTTACTGTATTGCAAGGAGAAGTAGCTCCAGGCAGGATGTCTGGGTGTGTGTCTGGGCGAGAAATGTAAGTTTGTGTTGGGTTGGGTATATCACGGGTCATTAACTGGTGCTTTCTCACAGAGTCAAAATTTGTAATGTGTTATTCAGATTAATAATTAGATTTGTTGGCCTCATGAGGGCAGGGCATGTGTGATCAAGGGACGGGTGCACCCTTCCAATATACAGGTTTCAAGGCAAGCTTTGTAGACATGCTGACCAATAACTGACTAATACAAATGTTTACGTTCTACTTACATTTTGTCATTTACTATTTAAAGTAATACACAACCTTCCGAGACACTTATTGAGAGATTTAAAATGAGGAGATGTCATTATTTGCACACAGTTGTGTCTTTTGGTTACCTCTAAGAACAAGTGCAGGAAGTCCACAAGTGTGATTGCATGCCTCATTATCCTGACATCAGTGTGTAAGTGTGTGTTTGCCTAGAAGGGAAGGGGTTGTACTTCCTGCTTAACACCGGGCAGAGTTACTATAAATAAATACACTGTGGAAAGTAGGAGTGTTAGGCATCCACATTTTTAAATGAAGAACATCATAATGAGACAATTACTCCAATACCTGCAGAGAATGACTGCTTGGTTGCAATATTGGTTTCCATTTTTCTTTTTTTGGTGGGGCTTCGTCTATCCCAGACACGCCAGATACTAAATTTAGCCCTTTTCCACCTTTATATGTCAAAAAAACTCCCAGCGAATGTTTTATAGCTATTTAACAATCACAGCATGACTCCTGCATGTTGTTGGGAGGTGTAATACACAGTTGTCAGCATATTCCTCTGCTCCACAAATCAGGGGTGTTGTGTTGTGCCAGGGCTTTTCTGTTTGTCCAAAAATAGGGAAGTTCCCTCTGTAGATGTGCATATCAGAACTCATTGGAGCTTTTATCTCTGCTAGTTGTATCATATTGGCTTCTGTTTAATCTATACATACATCTTCCTGCACTACAACATGAAATTACTTTCAACTGTTTTACTTTTCTGTGTTTCAATGAAACATTTAATACATTTATATAATTTCATTTCCATTATTTTTCAAACACGTGACTGAGATCTATCAACCTTTCTTTCTGCACAGATTCCGGCATTTACGCCTGAAACGAAAAAAGCTGAGGGATTACGTCAGTGAGATGGTGGACCTCCCGAAGGTAGTCGACAGCTGTCACAGGAATGTTTTATCAAAAGGGCTAATGATGACAAATATCCCCATAAAACACTCACTACTTACATTTATGCAGTATTTTGCAATCTGCTGTTTATTGCTAGATGTTCAGACACATTAAATGCTCGTTAAAAAGAACTATATAAAATGTCTCAGGAGTCATTTGTGTCAGGAATTCACAGGCCAGAAGACTTTTCCATGTGGAATAAACCCAAGATTTAAAGATGTTGCCCAGTGAGCACTAATGTTTAATTTGTGCACTTTAAAATGCATTTCCTGATTGATTCATATGATATATTGTTTTTCCAGATTAAGTGCAGCCTTTGTAACCAGATTTGTTGATGTTGGCGTATTTTTCTTAAACCCAAGTTTCTTAAGGAAGCGTTAAAAATGGAGTCTCACACTTTCTAAGTGGGCAGCACTGGGATGGTTTCAAGTCCGACACTATCGGTCTAAGCTTCCCTATAAATATAGAACGTTCATTTAAAATGTGTCTCTACACAATATTCGATTTATGGCTGTAGTTCAAGAATCTTTCAATCTGTTCTGTGTGGCCATTTTTAATAGATGCAGATGATCATGTGCGACCTCAGTGCCAATTGGAATAACTCGTACCGGGAGCTGGAGCAGCGGATCCACTCCATGGAGCAGAAGCTGGACGAGCTGAGTCGCTGCTTCCAGCAAACCTCAGAGATGTTGTCTCATGTCCTACGCCACCGCAACACAGAGATCAGGTAAACAACACTAACAGGAGAGCTGCCAGCGACGTGGAACTGATCTGCAACCAACAAAGTGTATGGTGTGGTATCTGACCTGCATAATGAAAACTATTAGTATCATTTATTTTCCTTTTGTTTTTGCAGGTGACGTTTCAACAAACAATTATATCGGAAGACAGTATATCGTCATATCAGTGTTTTCATCTACAGTATACATGAAAGTGAGACAGTGACTCCTCTCCACCTGGAGCTGCTCCAGACTCTTAACTTACTGAACAACTTGGAAGACTACTTTCTAACCATCTCATCTTCTGGCCCTGAGCTGAGTGCACAGCACAATGAGTCTGTACAATTCTACAGATTAAAATAGGACTTCCATTCACTGTGGGAGAATCACAGTGCATTTTTGTATATCTGTTGTTTTCAGCTGTTATATGTGTGACAGTGTACACATAACTGAGTTAATCTCAAACAAGGACTGTGGAGAGCCTTCACAGAGCCTGTTCTCTTAACTGCTATTTGTAAAGTTTCAATGATAGACTCTGTCACTGCCTTATTCCTGTGGAATAAGATACATTTTATTTTTTGTTAATTTTATTCTAAGTTTCTTGCAATGTTTCACAGTGTAAGCCTAATCAGTTTTGTAAAGAAATCTCTGGCAGGTCCTCTTGTATTAGCCGACAGTTTCATGGTTACATATTGTTTGCAGGTTATTATATTATAATCTCTTCCAATCCGTATTGTTCTGCTTTCTTCTAACCCCCTCAAATGGTCTGTGAATTAAATGGTATGCTCAAACAAGAGAAGAAACGTCAATCAAGGATTGTGGCAACTTTATTTCAATCTGAAAATCATTGGGCCTTAAACAGTAGTCCATTCAAACTCTTGGATGAATGTGTATGTGTTGTGTTGTAATCATCTGATGCAGGAAAAACATGCTCTGAGAGTGAGTTGCCTTCAGTACCCCACCAGCTCCATCTAGTGGATATTATTTCAATAAACATAGATAATACTGAGGACAGTTGACATGAAGATTATATAACAACCATAAAAAAGGTCAAATGCTATTTTCAACCTGAATACCAAGGCCTGTACAATGTCTCACACAACATGTGAATTATCTGCAGTGAAAACAAATCAAGAGGACTCAGAAACTCACTGGTAAATGTGAAACTTCATGAAAAAAATTAAAATAGCAAAACTGGATGAACTCTCTCTCCAGAGTATAAACTGGAGTGTTTTCATTTAACCCAATACTGAACAAAGTGCATTGTGGGTTAATTTGTACTGGTGTATGGTCAAAATAACTTGTTTCTAACATTGTTTACTATGTATCATTTGCGGTGAAAAACATGTTAACAACCATCCAGGACATGCTTATAAATAAAAGCCATTACAAATGTATGTGAGTTTGCTTTGATTTTGTCTTAAAAAGATTTTGATTCAACACTGTTGTTCTAAAGTGTTGTGCAGAAAGCTGGAAAGGAGTAAGTTAATCAAAGCAATGGAGGAACCAAGGATGTGTCTGCTTCGTCATTTCACCGGCTTCTTTAATCGTTTCGCTTTTCTCCTGTTTTTAATCTGGTGCCATATGTAAGCTGAAGGCCTAAAAAAGAGCTGTCCGCAGTCACATGTAAAAGGCAGTCTGCACTTTTTCTTAACTTTACATTTCCGAGTACGTCCAGAACGGTGACTCTTCTGAGACTTGCCCTTCATGTGCTCAGCTAAGAGTTTGGCCCCTGTGAAAGTGTCCCCGCAGCCGACACAGATGTAGCTCACGGTCTCCGCGTGCTGAACGCAGTGCCGCAGCAGGTGCAGCCGGTGCTTGAAGGCTCGGCCGCAGGGGCACCGGTGCGAGCGCGGGCCTCTGTGGAGGTAGCGGTGGCTGATGATGAAGGAGGGCTGCCGCAAGATAACCCCACACTGCCTGCAGGGGTAGGAGGCCTTGGAGCGCCAGCCCTTGGTCATACGTTTCTTCAAAGCTATGTCCTGGCTGTTGTTCTTAAAAAGGCCCACAATGGTGGTCGATGGTGGGCTGACAGGATGGGAAGCAGCAGTGGCACCCGATGGGACAAACACATGTGTAGACAGAGGTTTACCTGTGCTAGAGGAGGAGGTCAACAAAGAGGAAGGAATAGCGTAGAGAAAACCAGCCCGGGTCTGTGCATCACAGAATTTCCCATTCACCTGGTGGACAGCATGTTGACTACTTATGGCTTGCGTGCCACCTAGTGAAACCTTTTTATCTGTCAACGCTGATGCATCGGTTATAATGCACACCTTGGTGCTGACCACTGATGTGTGAATTCTGGTGATGTGGTTTAACAGACTCTCCTCAGATCTAAAAAAGGTTTTGCATATCTTACACACTTGCGGCATTGAATCGACACAAAAGAGGAGTTGATCCAATTTGGTTCCCTTGGGACACTGGAAATGCTGTAAGGAGTTCTCCAGGGGGAAAACCTGGGCACAGACTACACAGGAATACAAAGGCATGTGGTGTTCTTTAAGATAAGCCTCACTTGTAAAAAGCTTCTTGCAAACTGTACACGGATATTGTACCTTTATACCACTACAGTGCAGCAAATGGAGCTTCATTGAACGGTATGGCCCTCTACCACATGCCTCACACATGGATTTGGAGTCCAGACTATGAGAAGAGCCACTAGAACAATCAGTAGAACTTGAATCACCATCTGACTCGAGATCCTCTGGACACAAGTCTGAAGGGTTAAAGTGTGTCTTCATTTCTTCATCAGATGCACTGCTTGATGAATCCTCTGATTTCTCGCAATCTATTTCATCATCTTCAACCATTGTATACTCTATACTGTTTTCATGTTTCCCAGCCATCTCAGGCTTCATCTCAATTCGTTGTTTAGGCCTTGATTTTGACAGTGAGTCCCACAGCCCTAACTTTGTGATTTGCTGTGCAGTCTCCTTGTTAGGAAAGTTGTCACTATTCTGACTCGGATGTATGACCGCAGAAATCAAAGAGGGAGTTTTTTTTAATCCCAAGCAGCTAGCCTCTGCATGTGTGTTCAATTCCCACACAGAACTGAAACCCTCATGACACTTTTCGCAGCAGGCTGGCAAGTGAACATTATCCAGGTGCATGGAGAGTGATGTCAAGCGTCGGAAGTTAACCTTGCAGATGTGGCAGGTGGCTTTGTTGTTGTGGTTTTTGTAGTGGGAGATCAACGTAGTCAATTCGCTAAATTGTTTGCCACATTCCCAACATTTTTCCTTTGTTTTTGTATCATCCCACTCCATCCTTCCTCGCTGCTCGAGTCTTCAGACATGAGGAAATGGTCGAGGATAACTTCTAGGTGGTCTGCAAAATCAGAAAGGAAAGAAGCGCTTAAAAAACAAGTTTGGGAAATACTCCTCTAGGCATCACAGTAGACAGGAATTTTTGTATTATTATTATTAAGTAATTTATTTAGATAAAGATGTAGCCAAATGTTAGCTATTAAATGTGTGTCAAAGAGCTGAAAGAACTATAAGAGTACAGCCTCACTGAGATGCTAGCATGTGGAAGGCTGTTGATTCTCTTATGGCATTGTCTTTGTGTTATGCTATTGTTATATAATTGAAATGATGAGTCATTTTAAAGTAAAAACACAAAAAGGAATTTCAAGAGGTGTATACAATTTTCTCATTGTTAAACAGAAATGATTACATCCAAAAAACGAACTATAAACTAACTATAACAACAAGTGAATACAATAATTATTAGGTGCTTCAGTTCTAGTGTGTGTAACTTTTTAGAGTCTTGTATAACTTTCGAACAATCCCCGGTTTATCACGTATGTAAAAATAAAACTCTGTATATTACCCCTGTACAGTAAGAGGTAACGTTATTTACCTCCGTCCGCAAGTGTTGGACTAAACATTGCCGCCTGCAGCCCAGTGAACGTTTAAAATAGTTTGATAAATCCAAAAAAATAAGGTAACGGTTGGTCAAAGACAGTGAACGTATCTTATCAAATCGAAAAATCGAGCGATAACGTCAACTTGTATGTAATAGTTTAGGTCCTGTCTCAAGCTCATCCATATGTACAGGCGGGGATAATACAGATACGTTTAGAGTACATTACAAAAATAATCATACTTAAAATTCAACATTTGAAGACATCCGAAATATTGTTGATGGCGTCCTCACCAAACTCCTCAGTCCATATCCGGCTAAAACCGGAAGAGGGGTGGCTCTACCTCCCAGAATGCAAAAAAAAAAATGTTGTTCAAATATTTCTCCAAACTTCGGGGAATTATTACTTTACTTATCTTGAGCAAAAACTTGATGACTAGATTACCTCAAATATATTTTAGACTTTTTAAAAAATCAGCATGGGGGTCTAACGTTTATTTTAAATTGGAGCAACGCTACTATTGTTTTCTTACATGCAGATATTTCTGAATGCATTAAGGTTAAACAAGAACAATGTAATGTCCTATCGTGTATATGTATAATGAAATAAAACGAAGTTGCACTGGGTTATATGTTAAAATAATCCCTAAAGTGGCGGAACTACGTTTCATAACGATGTTTCATCACGACTTATTTTACCAGACGGACAAGGTGCGTTTGTTTGGTATCAAATATTATTCTAGACGGGTGGAGTTTATCTCAGCGCGTTGACAATCAAGAACCGGTTCAACGTCGTCCCTCACCGGCCAACGCCGAATATTTGACACAAGCGCAGTAGCGAAACGCTAAAGTAAACCATAAACAAGTGTTCTGAATTGAGCTTTAACGATGTCATCTAATAGATGACATCTATTCACGTCTTCAAACATATATTCCAGTTATTGTCAAACGATTGTTAGCTAACAGCAGATTTGTAATTTGTTTTCACTAACATTGTATTGTTTTCTCGCCTTTGCTTGGACTGGGTTCCCTCCGTTAGCCACCGTTTGTATCAGTTGTGATAGTGAACCAGGGGAGCAGCGGCATGTCTGAGTCCGGCCACAGTCAGCCCGGGATGTACGGGCAGGGCCGCCGGAGGAGGCGCCGCCGCGGAGACAGAGATGTTGGAGCTCCGGGACAAAACCTGTCCGGTCCAAGTCGGGATCGAGAATATCAACCAAGGGAACGAAGGGTAGGCAGCATGTGAAAACACTGCAGACCGCTGGTGTAACTGTTGGACTTCAGAATAGTGATTCACTTTAATTTATCTTTTCAGGATGGGAGCGAGGATCCACCAGGCCCACTCATTCCGAAGACCCCCATCATTCTTGCAAAACCCCCCGGGGAAAGGGTACGTTAGCTTTTTTTTAATAAAATGCTCTTATTGTTAATATCCTTCTTGAACACAGACAGTAGGACACACCATAACTAAATCAGCACGTTTTACTTTGTCTGACTAGTACTTTGCACGCAGGATTGTCAGCTCGAAGAAGAATATGCAGAGTGACTGAAATGTGAAATCAAACATCATGTTATTGAATTTGAGATGGATAAAACAAGTACTTTTAATTTGATTCATTTCGCAGACATGTACTGTGTATACAAGGCAATGTAAGGTATTAACACAAATGAATACGAAGCAAATGAGTCACAGTTAAAAAGTAAATAATGACAAAATACAAGTTGTATGTATGAAGGTCTTCTGCCTTTCAGGTCATGCCATCAATTTACTTTTGTTGTTGTTGTGGGATCCTTTCAAGGCAAAGCCGTCACAGAATACGCCTGTCAGCGGAGCTCCTGTCCTCGAGAAGCCCATCATGCTCATGAAAGCCAGGGACGATGGAGGGAAGCCGGGCACTCCTCCTGAAGCAGCAGCCCAGCTCACTGGTCCGGGACCCTCCAAGATGGAGAGGGAGGGTCAGCGACCCACCCAGCCCGTGTACCAGATCCAAAACAGAGGAATGGGTGCTTCTGCAACGAGCAGCGCTGTGGACCGTGAGCTTTTGTAGATTTCACAAAAATAAAATTGTTCCTCCTCGAAATGTTGGCTGAGAAAAAAAAAGTAGATCTTGAATATTTGATTTGACTTTCAGCTATGGTGGGCCAGTCTAAACTCCTCCCTCCAGAGAAGATGAAGCACAGCATTAAGCTTGTGGATGATCAGATGAATTGGTGTGACAGTGCCATGGAGGTGAGTTGTGTAATTAATTTAGTTGATTGCGGAGCCATTTTATTAAATAATGTAATACTAATGTAAATATATGTTGGTGTATGAACTCAAAGGATGTTGTGTTGTAGTATCTGAGGGACCAGACAGATATGTTGGTGGTGGGAGTCATCGGCCTGCAGGGAAGTGGGAAATCTACGATCATGTCGCTATTATCTGCCAACACTCCTGAGGAAGATCAAAGGTGAGGTTTTTTTTAACACCAACAATGAGCTCAAGCTTGTTCATGTGCAAATGATATATTCATTTAAAGTTGAAACAGATACTTCTTTAACTTTTCCAAGTAGTATTATTAATGCTGCTGTTACAGTAAAGACCCCCAGATCGCTGTGTGTTGTAGTTACAACACACACTGTTTAAATGAAGAAGATGGACCTTTCATGATCCCCCGAAGAAGACATTCAGTTTTCCACTCTGTTATCACCTGCATTTTTTGTTATACATACAAATACACACACAGTTATGGTAGTGCTGCACACACACACACACACACACACACACACACACACACACACACACACACACACACACACACACACACACACACACACACACACACACACTATACACATAAACCCCAAGTGCCAGACCAACCCTCTGGTTGTTGACACCAGTGACCCCACTAGTTAGGAAAAGGAATTTCAGTGCTTTGAGAATATGTTTGGGGTTTAATACAAATATATGCTTAATATAGGATTTATTAACTTTTCATATTCTTCAGTTGGAACCGAAGCAGCTTATGCTTACCCATCTACAATTTAAATAATATAAACAGACTAAAAACGAACACAAATCACTAAGAGATTGATATTTACATCTTTATTCTTCCCATTATAACTTCGAATTTTAAAGCTGTACTTACAAATTGAAGTTACTCTTTCTGAACACACAGGGGTGATATATACAAGGCCATCTGCCTGTTGAGTCAGGTGGAGTGTTCAAGCTAATTGTTTTTTTTGAAAATCAGTTCAGTGTTTGGCACTATACTGAGTCCACAGACCAGATAACCATGCAATCAAATACTATCTGTTTAAAGAAAGTAGAAGTAGTGACCAAAACATTTATTCAGACCTTTAAAGCCAATGTATGTATTTGTTTATTGCAGTTGTTATCCATTCTGTTCTTTAGGATTAACAAATGCAATGTTGTGGTGTGATTTATGTTTGTTTGCACAGGGGTTATGTTTTCAGAGCCCAGACTCAAGAGATCAAGGAAAGAGGAGGAAACCAGAGCACAGGCATCGATTTCTTTATCACACAGGAGAGAGTCATCTTCTTGGATACACAGGTATAAATGAATTGATTTAGATCAGTGGATTTTTCTCTGCTCTCTGAGTGTTAGCAAATCCTGTGTAAATTTAAATGTAACCTTGGAATTCAAAGAAGTTGAAGCAAACAACTGTTAAAAATGGGTTTGGTTGATGATTGAAGGGGTGTGTTTGAATTCTTTCTTTGTTCCTTCAGCCAATGCTCAGCCCATCGATTCTCGACCATCTTATCAACAACGATCGGAAGCTGCCCCCGGAGTACAACCT